CATGGAACCCTGCCATCATCCTTTCAAAGACATAAGCAGCCAAGGACAGCAACGGCTTCTACTTCGCCACCTTCATTGTGTTTACGGCATTCTGCACTATCGGCTTCTTCAATGTAGTTACAGGTCCACAAGTCGCAAGAGCATGATTTTTCCTGCAAGTTGCCCATACGAAAAGAAACCATTTGTAGACGCCATTGCTTTCTTCATTTTTCAAGCAACACCTATTTGAATTTGTGTATTTTTTTTCTGGACCTAATCTTAACTTTTCAGACTTCGTTTCCTTACCCGGTGCCACAGCTACCTTCAAGATACTGCTGCCACCGCCGCAGGCCATCACAAGGCTTCTCACCCTACTGTAATTTACAGTAACAGCTCAGGAGCTTTGGCGGATCAGGTTCAGCCAATGAAATGTCAATGTCGAATTGGGCAATCCAGCCTGGCTGCAGCGACCTCCACACATCTCCAGAATTGCCTCCAGTCATCTCCTCAAATCATCTCCGTACAGATATGAAGGAACGTGTGAAGGCAAGGAACGTGTTGGGGAGCCAAAAGGAACAACCACAATGTATGTTACTTGGAATGGGCACGGGACCACTTACGAGGAAGGTTTTCGGGGCTGCCTCTGAGTTGTCCTTCGTGACATACGGGTCATAATAGCATATCATAGGGGATCATAGCGGCTTAAAGCGGAGCCCAATGCAATTGGAAGTTGTGAAACGCATTGGCAGAGCTGTGTTGAGTGCGCATTGAATTGGGTTTTGTTGGGAAGGCCGTGCTATTTGCAAGGGGCAATGGAACTGGAGGTTTCGAAATAGACAGCACTCTGGACAAAACGCAGAGCGGATTAAAACATGACAAGAGATACCTGGAGAATGTGTAGGCACTCAATGTAGACCTCTGAGGCACTTTTGTTTGGACACTCGAGGAGAATTGAACAAGAATGTAGTTGCATAGCCGGTGGTGCTGTGCACAACATTATACACATGCATAAATCACCTGCTAACATGGCCCTCAAGCGCATTGCACATGATCACATCACCTTTCGCCACACGGACCAGGACCTACAATCAGAAGGTCATTCCAGTTCTGACAAGCTCACATGACACACAACTGTATAGTTCCTGCAAGATCCTGCAAGCACTTGGCGAGGCGGTGAAACAGCCCAAGTATGGGATGGCACACTCACAATTCTGTATAGGCTATGGTTACTAATATAGCTCTTACGATACTATATATATATATATGTGTAGACATGGTGTTTGGCAACTTTCGTGCCACATGCTTCGAGGTTAGTGACATGTCATGAGCTTCGAGGCCAGCACGAGGTATTTTCATGTATTTTCCACATGTTGAGTATCCATGAGGTATTTTTGTGGATAGTGCGTTGGCATCAGCCAATGCCTTTCGCAGCAGGGACGATGTCATCGCGCTACCCAGCTGAAACTCTATGTGTGCTTTGCTGACCCGGTGCCCTTCTGTTTTTTCTACTACACTTTTATATCACCTCACATTCAACTCGTTTGATGCCCACATGTGGCGATTGTCCGGAGTCCACATGCAGCCCAGGGACCACGAAGATCAGAAATCTGAGGAGAAGAAGGACCGTAAAAGCTGCGGCAACTTGGACTTTATTGCGTGAATTGGTGCCTCAAAGCCCACCAGTAACTCCCACCACATTGGACAGTCGAGCCATTGGAGGCTGATGCACGAAGATCACTTTGCATCATTGCGATATGTCCGAGGGCCATGCTCATGGGAGATGCTGGAGATGATAAAGTTCTGAGTGAAGGAGAGTCCGTGATCTCAGATCGGGGTTTTGAAGCAGATCACTCAGTCACCTCGGGTAACCTCGGTTCCGGGAGGCCTTCTTGTGCCACACGAGACGGTGAAACACGTTGAAGAGCATGTGCCTGCGCTTGCAATGCTGGCCGCCTTTTTCAATGCATTTGGCCTTTCATGGCCAAGCAAGGCTCGAACGACACCTCAACAAACCACAGTCGGAGGCGTCGTCCTCGGATGGTGGGAGATCGTGAAATTGCCCAGATCACAGGAGAAGGGACATAGACCAGAAGCACACACATTCCTCCAATTCAACATGGAGCCAAAAAGAAGAAGGGGTGGTGAATAGTGGTGGAACTGATGCCAATATCAGTCTTGTAACTCACTTGTCTAAGACACTATATGACAAGGGTCTACGAACTCTCAGAGGCTTGAGGAAGATTGAGGTTTGACAGGTGGGGTTGCTTTCGTTGCCAGAAGTCCGGCACGCCCAGCCAGAGGCCTTCTGGAAGAGAATGCATTTGGAAACGGGCCAGGCAAGGAGAGTGCCCAACAGGTCGTACAGAGAGAGCCCAACAGGTCGCAAATGTGGGAACAAATTCAACCTGCTAGCAATGGCCTCCAACCCAAGAGTGACGGCCTCCTACATCAGGGTGAGTAGCCAATCTGTTGCTCAGTTGGCTATTTCGCCAACTTGAGCTCGGTGTTCCGACACATCGGTGGCCGACACATCGGACGTTGCCCTTTCTAGGTGAGAGAGCTGTACAAGCTCTACCAACAGCAGCTGCACATTGACGGCAAACCCGACAGCAGGGTCAAGGTCAAGGAATTCCTTCATTTCACCAGGACTGGAGCAAGTGGTGCTTTGAGCAGCTGGACTGAGTAATGCTGCAAAATTGCAGAGTACTCTCGGACAGCTGGGACTTGAGCCATTCTATCTGACCATCCCAGACCATCCCCAGAGACAAAGCGTTATGAGTCATATCCTGACAACCCAGAGACTCCGTCAATTTTCACTCTCAAAATGAGTAAGATACATAATCCCATGCTGGTCCCATTCCAGGAACCCCACCATGACCATTGGACTCAAAGCCTCCTTTGACCAATCGCTTTCAGTCTTTGGACCTTTTAAATGCTTTCCGAAGAGTGTGCGTCCCTTCAGTCCTGGCACAAGTAGGTGTTCCTTCCCTTGGCATGGATGAGCTGTGCCTCGGAGCCCAGAACTGATTGAATAAGTCCTTGCAGCCCAAAAGCATGAGCAGACTCACCTTAACAACAAATGAGGGTTGGGATAGATTAGGGTCCATCGATGAGTGGATCCAGCTATGACCTTTGCCCAAGAATTCCAATGGTTCACCTTGAACCTCGCGAGGACCTCCAAGGATCAGGCCTCCTGTGTCAACCTGCTAAGGCGTGGTTCACCCGGTGCACTTTGGTCCACATGCCCGTCCAAGAGGTTTTGATGTGGTCCACATGCATGTTGCATGTGGTCCACATGGCTTCGCCACCTTCTGGTCCAAACAAATGCAATCGTGATGGACACGCTGCGGTATGCACCATCCGAACCGTGAAAGACATGCCAGACATAGAAGCGCCCAACGGATGAGGCTTGATCACTTCATCCGGAAACAGTTTAAGGAGCTCCAAGATCGCCTGCCAGACACGCCAGTTGAGGGCCCAGTGGATCAGGGTAGAGGGATGAAGGCATTCCCAAACCATTCAGAACGACCACAGGGTTTTGGTTCATGGTACGCCCAACCTGTCGGCTTTCCACCTCTAATCGTAATCGGAGGGACTTCGTAGAACATATTCCTCCGCAAGAACACCACAGAATCAGATCAATCAAAAGGTCCATTTCCAGTTTTTGCCGGGGTTGATTTCTCTACAGACCCCTGGTTCAGTGGTGTGCCAGTTCTGGATAATCTGGGTCTATTGTGAGAAGCTCCCCTTTGCAACGTTAATGCACAGAAGTGGGCCTTCGGTGTGACACTCAGAGGCTGTCGGGGCTCTAAATGTGTTGGGGTGATTTCGCTCGCCCGATTTCGGACGTTGAAATTCGCCAGCAGAGCACGTTTCTTCAGGTTCGCGAGCGCGCGCTCCGCGCCACATTGAGCCAGGTTCGCAAGGTAGAAAGAAAAGACCTTCCGCATGTGCAGGGCCATGCGGACTACCCTGTCTGCCGACTGCCCAGCCCGAGCTCCAAAAGCCGAGGCTGGCAACAGCAACCTGTGAGCATTCACATGTCGCAGCTTCTGTGCCTGTCGCAGGTGCAGACAGCGCTCTCATTTGGTCTCCCAATGTTGGAATGAATCAAGTTGACCCCCCTATGTTTTAACCAACGGTATATTGACTGAATTATGGACATGAAGGTGCTGGGGAGACCGTGACTCATTGATCAGCCTGAGACCAAATGGCTTAATCGAAGTCGGAGGCATGAAGTTGAGGCTGCGCCTCTCGGTGGCAGCCTCTTTTTCACGGCGTTCGCACCCCAGCGTGGATTGTGTGAGGCCTAGTGCACACCGGATGCCTGCCCAAAACGTTTGCACAGATTCTTTCTTTTCACTCCCCACCGATCCCCGCGCGACGAAATTCACTTGGCATTGTCAAGTCCTTTGGTCTAAGACCATTGGCTGGCCAAGTGCCGCTCTGCAGTGGATGCCTGCGAGGTTGATATCCTGGTGATAATGTCAGGCATGACTCATTGGCTGAAGATGGTGCAGTTGATTCTGCCGGGATAGAATCAAGAAGGGCAATCGATCATGGCTGCACGAGGTGCTCAAGAGTAGCCGAGTCTGTAGAATCAAACCGACGAACACAATGCAAGCTATACACCCATGGATTTTTCTTGGCAGATTGGGCTTAGATCCACCACACTCATGCAATCTATGAACATCTGTGGCAGGATATGATGCCGTCATATGCCTTCCTTTCGTGCAAGCCTATCATGCTTCCTCTCTTCCCTGTTGAAGCAGCGCCACTACAGTGTTCTGAAAACCTTCCGCAGGCATCTCTGGAGGGCAGAGGCAAGAATTACCCTTATGGGGGTGCCTTGCCTTTGTCGAAGGACAATGACCAAGCCATCGAATTGTTGAAGACGCTCGCTCATGCGAGCCGGCTTTGTAGCTTTTTGCATCCTTAAGCCGGCAGGCTGGAAAAAGAAGCTGGCGAAGATGCTTAACGTAACAGCTGCTAGCAGCTGCCCTGCTCACCGCCGCATGTTCGATGCGAGCGTTCGAGGTTTCGTTGTTTATTGAAGTCTATTGACCTGGATGGTCCCAAGAGTGGTCCCAAGACAGGGCAAGAATGTCACCGCACCCCGCACTCAAGGTGTTTCAAGGTGTTGGGGGATGGTGAGGAAACGGACCTTCAATTATGGGATAGTTGAGAAGGACTGGGTATGCCCGCTCTACCTAGATCTTTTTGTCTTGGTCAATACAACCGCCGCCAGTCGCAGTTTTTGGCTGCAGTTGCCGCAGCACGATGGAATTTCCGTTGAAGTTGACCAGGCAGACTCTCCCTGAGGGGCGAGGAAGGACAGCAGATGTTGATGCTTGGATCTGAATCTGTGCACTTGGGGTTGTGACACAGGAACAATGAAAGACGGACTTTCTGCTGATGGACAAATATTACACAATTTCTAAGAACCAGTTGCAGCAGAAGGACGTCCACGGCCCGCCTATAATTTCCAGAGAACTGGTCCTGCTGTACGTTGTCATTCTCCGCTTCGCCAATTTGCCACGTTTTGCTTCTCGTGGGGGTTTCCCCTTGAGACTTCTTGAGGCAATGGATTGGAGCAATCCCCGCTTAGCCACAAAGCTGCTTGTCAAGTTTGGCAACCTGGGGCAGTGGCCAAAGGCACTGGGGCTGCTGTGCCAGTTAGCAGGACTGATCGGCCTAGGCAAACACGTGTTTGCTTGGGGCATTTTATCCTGCGTTATGGATGGCGGACACCCATATCAATCCTGCGTTGTGTGACATACTGTATATATATATATGTGTGTGTAATTTGATTCTATCAGTCTTTGTACTTTGGTTTTGTTTGCCTTGGCACCCTGCATCCAGGAGAGGGGGTGAAGGTGGATGAGATCCATATGTCTGCGGCCATTCGTGCCTGCAGCAAAGGCTGTGCCTGGGAAGCGGCCCTGGCCCTTTTGCAAAGCGCCAGCCACTTCTCCATTGGCACAGACCTTTGGCAACCGTCAGCTATAGTGATCGCCGAATGGGTTTATTTGCTTCATTGGTCCCTGTACTGTATGGCAAGTTGGTGTCCAGGTAAGACTGATCAAGTGATTCAAATGATTATTTTGGTTGAAGCTTCTTGACCCAAGGACCTCAAGATCTTCTGTGTGGTTCTGAGTGCTCTGGATCGTGGACGGCAATGGGAGCTGGCCTTTCAGTTGCTTGAGCAGATGGTGCGCGTAGAGATGCCTCCGGAGCAAGTCGCCTACAACACTGCAGCTGCCTGGAGTGAAAGAGGAGGGTTCTTGAAGCTAGTTATCATTTAATGACTGCCTTGTGCAAGCTCGCCGGAGCAAGCGGGACCAATAGAATGAACACGTGGGCCCTCAACATTTCTGCAGGAAGCAAGGAATCCAAACAAAGCCGTTTTCTCTTGAGGGCATGTGATTCCATGCCTGATATTTTGCACACGCGCATACTTATAGTGTAATTAAATAACTGACTAAAGCAAATAGATTCATATATTATAACACACGCACACACACACATACACACATATATATATATATATGTATACACTGACAACCCCATTTGAGCCAGTGGTTGTCGGGGTTCGTCCCAAAATCAAAAGGAAAGCAGCTGCAACTTAGCAATAACTTTCACAAGTTTTGGAACACATGGGTTCTAGAGCGATACTCTCCCCACCACTCCACAGACAACAGAGCGACTTTGTTTTTTTGTTTTTTCGACTGCCATGTTAGTATTGACTTCCGTATGTCAGGTTTTGCAGGTTCAGCTGCCATGTTAGTGAAAAAACAGGTGGTAAACGCCAAAGTTACACTAACATAGAAGGTTGCAGAATTCTCACAAAACACACGTTTGTTCATCAATAAGGAAGCTGGCCGACTCTTGCGCAGGTTCTTTGTTAATGTAACACAGGCCTTCTTTTCCAAATTCACAAGGTTCCATGTTAGTGAACATTGATGGAGCCTTGTTGGATCAAGCTGCATCGTTTCGTTGTTCTGTCCAGGGTCAGGCGGGTTTTGGACCACTAACATGGAAGTTTCAGAAAAAGACTATTGCCCTACTCGTCAAACGTTTCCCCGGGCATTTTTGGGGTTGTGGCAGGCAAACTTGTTTGGACTGCAAGGCAGAACTGCTGCCATGTTAGCGGCAAAATCCATCAAGCCAGCTACTGCCCCAACTGCCATGTTAGTGTAGATTGCTGCCATGTTCTGAGGGTTTCCTCAGGGTGTCTCACTAACATGACCTCAGTTGCCACAACCAATTCTTTTTTTTGTGATTCATCTGCCAAGTTAGTGACCGGGAGTGTACCCAAACCAATATCAAACGATACCTGGAGCGATACCTCAGAATTCCAATCCTAACCACCCCCCCATGTGTAGAGCCACAACTCACTATATAACGCTACTAGGGTTTTGAAATGCCACGTAGCAAAGAGCTTGTCTATGGCCTGAGGTTGTGGGGTTCTTTGTTTTTTAATTGGGACTGCGTGGAGGGATAGGGAACCTTGAAGAGCGATACCATGGCAGCAGAATGGCTAGCATGTGTTGACCGCTGCACATATGAGCTGTTCATCGAACCAAGCCGAAACATGCAAGCCACGTTTGGATTGGTGTCTCAGCAAGGTCAGTGCTTGTGAGCGCTTGGGGCAATGGAAGGCCGCCATCGGTGTGATGGCTCGAATGTGCCGAGAAGAGGTGGGGCAATGGAAAGAGAGAAGTCGGAATGGGGAGATTGCCTCACTGGGTGTGAAGCATTTCGCGATGCGTATGAGTTTGGAGAAGAGTGGATGAACCAATTTGCCTCGTTTGTTTTCGAGGTAGAAATGGACACCATCACCTATGGCACCGCGATTTGTGCATGTGCCAGGGGACAAGCGTGGTGGAAAGCCTTTGCCTTAGTTAGCTGGGTCATTTCGGGTCGTCACTCGCCATAGCGTCTGGGGGAATGCAGACAGCGCCATAGTTCGTCAGACCCCCCAAAGTCCAGACTCCGCGGTGTATTAGCGCGGAATCAGTTCGTTTTCTGGCTGGACCTACACATTTAGGTGCTCCACCTTTGGCAGTGCATGGAGGAGAAGTCCGTTGGCAAAAACACCGTGCTCTGCGGCGCATCCGTGAATGCCTGTGCCAAGGGAAGCCTTTGGGCAATGGCTTTGGACATTTTGTCCTCCATGCCGCGGTCCAAGGTGAAACAAAATACAATCACCTGCAATGCTGCCATCTCTGCCTGTGAGAGCTTTGGAGCTTGAAGTTTACCACTTCCCCCTGTTTGCCACTTCTCCCTGAGAGCCGCCTAAGACTTCCCAATAGCAATAGCAGGTTGTGCACACATGCTGGGTGACCTAGGGCCCCTCGGTGTGTGTTGTGATAGGTTGTGTATGGTTGTGTAGGTTACAGTCCTTCCACCCCAAAGGTGGACCCTTGTGAGATCATTTGTTGAGTTCCCTGGCGGGATCCATCTGAGGAGGGGTGCCCAATGGCGCTTCGCCCTGGAGATCTTGCGTCAGATGCCTCGAACTGCGATCCCTTGCGATGTCATCAGCTGTAGCGCGGCGATGAGCGCATGCGAGAAGGCCGCCGAGTGGCAGCTCGCGGTGGCCCTGTTCGAGGACATGTTCCGACTAAAGCTGCAGGTGGAGACTGGGAAGGATGGAAGGTGGCATGAAGGTGGATGAAGGTGGAGGGGGATGTTGCGGGGTTACACGGCACAAGGCTACCACTCCAAACCAAAAGCCCCCCTTATCACACTGCCTATTATTGTTTCAATGAGCAGGTGGACTTCGTTTTGGCAGGTTTGCTTCCGGTTTGTGCAGGGCATAAATTGGAATTTCATTGTGGTACAACTCTCTTCCTCATTATCATTATCATTGTATCGCATCATATATATATATATATCTATCTATCTATATTATCCCGTAATATATATAATTGCGGGTGGGTCCGGGTACCCCGACCGTCGGCCAAGGACCTGATAAGCTGTAGCGCGGCCATCAGCGCATGCGAGAAAGCGGCGCGATGGGAGGACTGTGGGGCTTGTTGGAGTCGGACAACAGGGTCGGGTTATTGTGTGTAGCATGGCTGATCCAATTCCAATGCCGTCAACATACGGCATCTCACTGGGCGCTGTTAGGCATTCTTGACGTCAGTGTAGCCCGGCAAAGCTTTCCCACCAGCTGGGATTTTTAAAGTCAACCCATCAAATCACCTCCCACATGCCACATGGATCGGCGTCATCTCAGTCCCTCACATCGTCTCCGCATGCAGTGCCTTGTGCCCTCGACCTGACGGTCTCACTTCCTCGGTCCAGGTGGCGCTGGGCCTCCTTTGGGGCATGGATGCCCTGTCCGTCCGGCGGAGCTCAGTGAGCTTCGCCGCTGCCATCTCGGCCTGTGAGAAAGCGCAGGAGTGGCCGGCGGCCGTGGAGGTCTTAGAACAGTTCCTATGCAGCCGGGTAGAGGCAGATGGGTGAATCGGGTAGATGTGGGATGAGGTGGTTGTGATGGGGTGGATGGGGGGTTTGGGATGGTTTGGGTGGGTAGTAGAAAATGCAGTGGTGGCATGTGGTGACCATGGCTAGACAGTGGAGCCAGTTTCCACTTTGCACCTTGCATTTGGTACACTTGTGGCAGGTCGACCGCATCCCTTTTGGTGCTGCAATCGCAGCATGCTCACGAAGTGGCCAATGGTTGGTAGCAGAGGCCATCCTGAGAGACATGTGCTTCCAAAAGCTTCCAAAAGACGTGATCTCGTGCACGGCGGCCATTGCAGCCTGTGCCAACTCTGCCCAATGGACAAGAGCCTTGAAGTTCATGGAGGAGATGGTGACAGAAACTGTCCATCCTGATGAGTCGACTTATGGTTCAGCTTTGAGTGCTTGTTACTTGGCAGGGCGCTGGCAGGAGGGCCTTGAGCTTTTGGATGAGATGAAGCGAGCAGACTTCGCCGTTGATGGCATGCATATCGGCTCTGTGGTGGGTGCGGTTCTGAGGAACTTGGGGCGCAGCGCAGCAGTCGCATGGCTGAAGACGCTGCGAGAGGGGCCTGAGGAAGCGCCCCAGCCGGGAATTCAGCTGGGTGAGATCATTGGAGGTGCAGAAGTTGTGAAACTATCAACTTCAATGAATTTCTCAAGGTTTGTTTGAAGTTCAATCATTGTTTTTTTTTATTTTTGTTTTAGGGCGATGCATGGTTGTATTTTGCCTTTACACTTGCACAGCCTTCTGAAGTGGTCCCTGTTTTGATCTGGGCTGCATTTCGAGCGTCTTTGGACCCTATTCTGTCCAGGGAGCCCTGTGATCTCGGCGTCTTATGGCCTGGTGATACTCAACAAGCCAGCGGGCGAGCGGACTGAGGATGTGTGCCTTCATCGGATCTACTGTACTGATTTTTGGATATTTTTGGGACTGTGAGGTGAACTTTCGGTTCTTTCATGTTCTTTCCAGTCACCATGTAGACACAGGTGCCAATCCTACCAGGTTGGTGGTGTTTTCGGATATTTATCGATATTTAAGCAATCCCAGGCAGCTGGCGCTGGCGCAGCGCTTGCAGTCGTCCACAAGCAGCGTCTCGCGGTTGGATCGGCCCACCTCGGGGGTGCTCACAGTGGTTGTGGGCTCCAAGATGGCTGCAACCACCAAGTGGCGCCATGGATGAAACATGATGAAATCAGCTCATGGGTGTGAGCCAAGCACGTGCCATGCAAAGTCTGGCCACGAGTTTATTTCATATCTGGCATTCGGCAATTGAGAAATGGTCGAAGACGGAGGGGTGAGACCACATGTGCTAGCAGCAGCAAAGAGGAAATGTTGTTTTTCCTCAAACACATCCGTTGTAACTTCTACAGCTCCAAGGTTTCAGGCGCAATTCGCCAGCCGACTGGTGGAGAAAGAGTACCTTTGCCTTTGTGAGGCCCACCAGGCGACTGCATCGGTTTTCAGGTCGACACGCGAGTTGTTCATGCCAAGCTGGTTGGATCTATGACTGGGATCGATGGAACACCCACCCGTTTGAAGATGCTCTTTTTTTTTCTAGGCACATCTTGTGATTTTCTCACAGACCGGGAGTCTTTGAGGAAATCCCGCAGAAACGTCGGCTTGTTGTCTTGGACCTCGGAGGAGCCAGGGCCGCCAGGGTCGCGGCACTCCGTCTCAGCTCCTTTGCGTGTGGTGAGCCAGAGTTCATGGAGTTCAAGGACTCAGGCCGCCTGGGGGACGAACGAGTGTCAAGATGTCGTCAAGTGTTTTCGTGTGGGGGAGTGGATCAGGACCCTTGCAAGCTCTTATGCAATTCACATGTTTGTTGGGTCGATGGTCCTGTTGAACGCCCTCCTAAAAGGTACTGTGGCTGACACCCGCAAGACGAACCCAGGGTGTATTTGGTTCCTGCGAAGGGGGTTGGAGTGGGAGGTGTCACAGCAAGTGTCACCGCATTATTATAAATCCAATGCTGTGTTGGGAAGAATGTGACTCATCCCGGAAGAAAGGGTCAATCACTCTAAGAGAGGAGGGAACAATTGTCGTCAGCCACTCAATCAACTAAGCACAACACCACACAGATGTCCTGGATGGACATCGTCTTGAACAAAACTACAGACATTTTTGCACCACCACATATGCCCACCCTGTGGAAACATACAATGTGGAAACATGTTGAACAAGCACAGGTGGAAGCACCCACACATGCAGTTACAGTAGATCTTAACGCGCGTTTGTCGATCAACGCGGCGCGCCCCAAAACATACCCATTCTCCATGCAGAGGAGCTTGTGTCCAGCACATACTTAACATACTTCGTGAGTGGCAATCTGCCAGAAGCAGAAGCAGACGCCCGGCAACCACCCCAGTGGCAATCTCCAAAACCGCCGATTTCGCCCCGGCCGCCCTGAAGAGGTCGACGAGTCTTCTGGACGTGAAGCCTTGACGCTCTACGAGATCCTCGGCTGCTTCACGTTGAGCGGATCCAAGCGCTTTGTGTTGGTCCGGGCGGAGCCCAAGACAGGCAGCCGCTTGGCCGGACTTGAGGATGGCAGAACCTAGAGAAAAAAGAACTCAAATGGAGAAGTTAGACGCATGTTTAGGTTCAATGGATCTTGAATTGATTCGCGTGTTGACTCCAGCAAGTGGCTTGATGCTAAGGAATGCATCAGATCAGAGCTCATTTAGCAAGCATTGGCCTTCCCTTGGTGGGGGATGGACACTGAGTTGCAGATGGGCCTGGGGATTTGGTTGGTCCTGACTGAAGCCAAGGTCAGTTTCAGTGTCACTCCGTTCAAGGATCTCTTTGGAGAATTTTGGAGATTGTTGCCAGCCCTCTTTGACTTTCCTTTCCTCCTTTCTCTACCTCGGACCTTGAGAATCCCACCTCACCTTGGCCTGAAAACCGATCGGATCTCAATGTTCAAGTTCCCACCCAAAAGTGGGGGAAATCCAGCGTCCTGAGCTTCGCATGTTGAGGGCTCTATGGCCAGCCACCGCCCGACTGGTGCCGCCGCCTGTTCCTGCACTGTCACCGCTTGAGGCGGCATGGGACCACAAACCCAAACAGAGCCCTTATGCGAGCTTGGATGGTTTCATCCACTTTCATTTATTCAATCATCGTTTGACATACCTATGCTTCTTAGTTATTCAGCAGAGCCATTGCCTGACCCCCATTCTCTAGTACCTATGAAACAACCCGAGTATCCGTATACCTGAGTGCTATTTTCGTACCTCGTCACCACCCAGAACTCCGTTGGGGACGACAACGCCAAACGTGTGTATTGCCTGACCACATGATGTCCTATGATGTCCAATGTCCTAGGAGGTTGGAGGCCATAGCTATTAGGGTGGAGACTGTCGCTATTAGGTTCCTTTTGCTATTCGGTTTGGTGTCCCGCTTCCAGAGTCGCAGGCTGCTGGACTGGGAGGCTGAGCCTCTCCAGATTGACGTGCCGTTGCCCAGTGAGCTCCAGGCAGCCCTGGAGCATTTGGAAGCGACAGAGGCCAATGAAAAGCGCGGCGTGGGGCTAGACACCCTAAAGACAACGACATAGAGGGTACAAGACGTTGCTCTCACTTTTTGTGGGACCCACCATCTTGGCCTACAAGTTTCGGATTCAAAATCAAGGGTCGTGCACAGTGCACAGAGAGGTTTTTCCAGGAACCCATTTGACTCACTGCATGGCAGCTGGGTGTTTCGTGGACGATTTGTGTAATGGTGGACCCTTAGGAAAGCTAACCATAACAAGAACCCATCAATTTTTGATGCACTAACTTTGCATAAGTAGCAATTTCTGCTGGCTCCCTTTCCGCAGAGATGCAAAAACTACTTGAAGGACACAAATCTCACATCACTAGCCTGGCAGCCAGCAGCCCAGACACTAGCTTGGTAGCAAGCAGCCCAGCCCAAACCGCATTAGCTATGTGCTCGAGGGATACGAACCCTGGGATACCGATGAACAGACACTTAGCTGCGAGCCCCCTTACAAATAGAAGGGCATCCAGGGTTTGCTTGTTGTTAGCCAGTGCATCTTCGCACGCTGTGAAACACGCGTTGTGTTGGAGATGCGTCGCACATGCTTTAATGAGGCTAGGGACAATTCAACCCTTCATGTTTGTTTCCATGTTTGTCGCGTTGTTTGTTTAAACTATGGGTGAGCAGAGGTCACATTGGAGGTGAGGTCACACTCCATGCGAATTTGGCTCATGCGAAACGGGCAGGCGGCGGACTCACTGTTTTCAAACATTTGCTATGGCCGAGGGAAGCAGCCAATAAGTTCATCTCTGGCGGTGTGTGCTCTCGCCAATCCCGCCCTTGCCGCCACCATGATACATTGGTGGTATGCCGGGGGCAAGAGAGAGGAGGCCCTTCATTGTGAAAGAGGCCGAGTTAGGGGAGCTGGATGTGCTTAAGCAAGCCACTTCAAAGTTAAAAGCCTTCAGCACAAGTCATCAGTGGACCAAAGCTCTAGATCTACTGGCTCTTTTGCGATGCTCCACCGGGCCGAAACCCAACATGATCACCTGCAACGCTGCCAGCAGTGCTTGCGTCCATCACGGATGGAGCTGGGCCCTGCACCTGTTGGTCTCTGCCCAAGCTGCACGGCTGCGATCGGACCTGGTGAGCTGCAACGTGGCCCTAAAGGCTCGAGCCCAGTGGGTCGATGCTATGGCTTCTCTGGAGCAGATGTGCCGATCTCAGACTCGACCCGATCTCATCAGCTACAACTCACTGGTGCACCAGTTGGAAGCAACCCAGTGGTCTCGGGCACTAGGAATTTGGGGGGAAATCCAGGCAGATGTACGTGACGTGGTGACCTTTGCCTCGATTGCCAGCAGTTGTGCAAAAGCGAGACAGTGGCGACATGAGCTTCGGCTGTTGTCGTCCCTTTGGGGCTCAGCCTGCGAACTGGACGCGATCACCTTCAACGCCATCACTAGTGGTTTGCCTGAGAGCCAGGCCTGGTCAAAAGGCCAACACTTGCTGAGCAAGGTGCAGTTCTTGCTACTGCAAGTGAATGAAATCAGCTACCATGCTGCCATCAGCTGTCAGGAATTCTGGAGAAGGGCTATCAACCTCTGCGGCAAACTTCGAGAGGACGGCTTGAAACCGAACATCGTCACTTGTAATTCCATAAGCTCTACCTGTCAAGCAGAATGGCAGCAGGTGATGCTGGCCTTGAATACTTTTGCAGATATTGGACTGGAATTGGACATCATCTCCTTCAATGTGGCAATTTCAGCGTGTGGGATGAAGACGCTATGGGAATTGGCATGGTCTCTGTTTCAAGAGCTCTCAGCCTCAGGGATGGCAGATCCTTACACCTTCACCACCATGATCAAGACGTGTGCCGCCACCCACTGGTGGCATGTTTTGTCGCTCCTGGAGGCTTCACATTCTTTGGGGCCAAGCTTAGAAGTGTGGAATGCAGCCATCAGCAGCTGCTCAAACGCGTCAGCCTGGCTGCAAGCTTTGCTTGTGTATGGTGCGATGCAACAGCAGCAGGTGCTTCCTGACGTGGCCAGCTATAGTCAAGTGATCATGGCATGTGATGAGGGAAGCCAGCATGCTTTGGCTCTGAGCTTTTTGGAAGAGCTGGAGGCGGATTCCTTGCGGCCAGATGTTGTGGCGTTTGGGTCGGCGATGAATGCATGTGCACACTGCGGGGAGCTGAATAAAGCCCTGGAGTTGCTGAACAGGATGCAGGAATGTCAGGTGCAAGCGAACCTGATGGTGGCGAATACTGTGATCAACAGCTGTGTTCTCACTGGATCCTGGGAAGAGGCTTTGAAGCTCCTCAGTGAGTTTCAAAAGGCCCTGCAGATGGATGTGATCTCCTACAACTCCTTGTTGAGTGCCTTAGCCCCCAGTGGTCTTTGGACCCGAGCCGTGGATGTTTTGGAAGAAGCTCGTAGCCGTGGACTTACGATGGATATGATCAGTAGCAATGCCCTCATGAGCGCCTGCGAGAACCGAGCACGATGGCAAGAAGCCTTGCAGTTGATGAACTCTTACGAATGGAGTGCACCGCCTGCTGAGAAGCCACGTCTTAGTCAAATAATTATCACCAATACAGCGCTTGCTGCTTCAGCAAGGTCTGGTCAATGGCTCCTGGCCCTGAGTTCCTTCAGTGAGCTTTCTCAGGAGGCACTGCAACCATCCCATGTCTCCTATAATGCTGTGGTGAGTGCATGTGAAAAGGGTCGAAGGTGGTGGCTTGCACTGGACTTGTATCAACACCTCTTAGACTCCAAGCTGCCTTTGGATGTTGCCACATGCAACTCGGCCGCTCTCGCATGTGCTGCCGCTGGCCAATGGCAGGAGGCATTGTTGCTGGCAATGACCAGTTCCTCCGTCGCCAGCCTCAGTGGGGCCATTACAGCATCCGCTGAGCTCATGCAAGGGAATGAGCAGGTGATGTCCTTGTTGTCAGGGGTTGAACTTCAAGCCTTGACGGAACTGGCTTCATTGGCTTCAGTCAAGCCTGAAAAAGAGGGCGCTGTTTCCCGAATGGACCGAACGATCCAGTTGCGCGCCTCAATGGCTGCTGTTGTTGGAATGCATCCTTAGAATGCCGTGATTTCAGCCCCGCTCTCCTCAGCAGTTTGCGTTTTCATGCGTTTGCATTTGTTGACGCGCCTTGTTCCTTGGCTCTTCAACGCAGCTGTACCCATTTGCACCTGACACGCGGCCGGCCATGTGACTTTAGAAGGTAAGACGAGCAGCGGCAACAAACAAAGACAAAATGAACACACAAGGTGGATAGAATGGTGATAAGTACCGACGTGCTCCTTCCGTTTATCATGAAGGTTCTGAACAAGCACCACTCATGAGTCACTCATGAGAACTGCCGCAGGAAGCACAAAACAAGCCAGCATGCCATGAGCAACAGCACACCTTCAGAGGCAGTATGGCAGGGAAACGGCTTCGAGGGAGTAACCGTGCGTTTTCACGTTCGATGATTCGATGATGTCTTTCTTCCATAGTGAAACTGCAGTTGCTCCTCACCCTCACCATTTGCTGCACTGTTCCTGTGTGTAGCTTCTGAAGTTCAAGTTGTCCATAGTCGTAGCCGCCAGATGCCCAGCGTTTCAAGAGTCTGTTAGCCGAGGCCCAATGGCATGAAAGCTTCCTCGAGCACCTGGCCCTACAGCGCAAGAAGCGCTTGTCGGAATGCCTGGCAAGATGCAAGAATCGGGGGATGCATTGATTTAGTGCCTTCCCGTCCGACAACGACCTCGGACTTTTAAACTTTCGTCCTTGTTGGATGTTGCAATGTTTGTGCTTGAGGCTTTTGTGGTGTTTTGATGCATTTCTTCAAGTTTTGTTGTCAGCTTTCGTAGTGTTTGCAGCTGTCTTGACCCCACCAACATCTAGATCCCCATATTCCCAGAGGAGCTCAAACCCCGAACCCAGTTTCGTGTACCCTCCACCATCCCTTCACTTCTTCGAAGCATCTGTTTGGAAAGACCCGGTCCATGTTGGTGGAGGCGTGCCCGAGCGCTGTTGGCACTAGCCTTGATTTCTGAGCCCATGGAGAGGCGTGAGTCGAGTGGGGGTCAACAAAAGACCGGAAGAATGGCACACTTGGAACTGAGGTCAGGATGGAGCTGAGGATAAACCTGAAGGTGGTAAGTGGATGAATCAACCAGTCAAGTTGCGGTGCTTGCATAGGTTTGGTTTGATTCAGAACCAGGGCCCTTGACTGATGTACCATAGCGCTGTCTATCCGTCGGTTGCGGTTGTTCCAGGTTGTTCCGGTCTTCTTCCCATATCTTCTGGTAATGCAGCACCGCTCAGCACCACCAGTTCTGAACAGACTGGCTTTGAATCTCATCAAATCTCTTGTAGCTCTGGGCTGCTTTGCATGCCAGCACGGCAGGCAATGGAAAGTCTGTACCTCAGCGTGGTGGCACAACTCTAGAATCAAGATCATTTGCTAGGTCATGCTAGGTCCTAGCTGCAGCACTGCACACTGGCCCACTTTTTCCCAGCTTTGGCCAATGTCTCCGACTCCTGTGGGCCAGCTTGTCTCCCAATGGTTCGTCGCAGGAGATCTTTGTGGATGTCGCCTGGACGGCGTGGGTTCAAGTTGTGGGGGATGAACGCCGTCAACGGGAGATGTGCAAGGACGCCCGGGACATGGGGAGGTCGGAGGTTCCGTGTCCAGTCTTGATCGTCACGACCATCAGCAAGTTAGGATGCCTAGGGAGGCCTCAGGATACGTATGTGGGGTATGGGCATGCCCTCCCCGCACCTGGAAAAGCGGGTGAAACTGATTTGCATTCTGTTTTGGCCCTTCAACAGCTATAGCAGCTGTGTAACTTTCACTGGCAGGCGCAGCAGATGTACGAGAAGGCATGTGACCTTTTCTTTCAGTTTCAATTGGCCTCTTCCGCTTGACCAGGCATATATAACTGGAATGCAATGTGCTGAATCCTTTCTCAAGCGTATCACACCTGTTATAAATAGACCCAGACATCTTGATCTCGCCAGGTCCTGAATGATGCGCACAGCGCCATGGTGCCTTGGATTGACCGCCAGCTACTCGTAGACACTGCGATGGCAGAATGTCCTTGGATCCTTGGATGTCCCAAATGAAAGACGAGACATGGTGATTCACTCTCGGCTTTTGCCAGGGGCTGACCTGTTTGACCGTCTGGAGCAGCTGGGCGCCCCAAACAAACACCGGAGGGCATGCGACGAAATATGCATGTGGATGCTGAGCCGTAGCAGCCGTAGCCCCTCAATCAGCGGAATGGAAGTGGGTCCTGCGCCTGGTTTTTCAGCCTGGGCCATGCTTGGTCCAGCCTTAGGTCGTGCTATCCTGCCCTTCCGTTTCTCGAGTGACACCTTGCTAGCGTTACTTCAGAAGGCAGGCACAGTGCTGCTATAGTCTAGCAAGGCCACATGTGCAAATTGGGTCTCAATTGCGAGGCTTTGCATGGTGTAACTGCCCCAATTTGGATTGATGTTGCACTGCTACGCATGCCTGGGAAGCGGACAAATGCATCCTAGAGATTCCTAGAGTATACCAAAGTCAATTTTCCTGGCCTGCACGTGCCGATTGTCCCCTTCACCGCAGGCTTTGCCTTCTGTGCCTCCTAAAGCCGGAGACTGAGGGCCGTTGCCCCCCTCGGTCACACCAATGGATCCAAGTCCATTGACCCAACTCTTCCGTTGATGCACAAGGCATGTCAATGATTTGAGGATCTGGAGGTAGTGGCCGAAAGCGTGCCAAAAGAGCTCGATGGCCAAACCTCCTTCTTTCAGCTTATGCTCTCTTGGCTGCACTTGCGGGAAACGGGGTGACAGGAGCTACGGGCATGTTGAAAGCAACGGGCAGTTGATTCAGCCAATTAGTGTATATATAGAGCTGAGCTAAGGTCTAAAGTCAGGTTTCTCTCGCCGCTAGCCTATCCGAATTGCTGAAGTCCGCTAATCATTGGCGAATCGCTTTCCTCCGGCTGCTGGTTTGCCCGGTGTCGCCTACAGACCTGATCAGGTCTTGGCTTTACCCCTCGGCCAAGCAGGCCATTGACATCGAAGAATGGCAGGTGCGCACGCGGCCGCCACTTACTGTAAGACTGTACAAAACTCAGCCAAGTAGGTTCCTTTTTGTGATTGTAGTGTTCCTGGCTCAGTAGATTTCACTGGCCTGGAATGCTTGGGCCAGCCTTATGCAACCTGAGAGGCTCTCCGTCGCCAGCACTGTTCATGGGCGAAGCGGTGTCACTCGCTGCTTGTGCTGCTTGGTGTAACCCTCTTTCACCGTCACATGGCTCCTGGCCGTGGAGAAACTACGGTTCACAAACCAACCACATCCTAGATTCCTAGATTTGGGGAAATGGCCCTACTCTTTCAATTTGGGGGATATGGGATTGTTCTTCTTGAGTGGCTGAGTGGCACTAACACTGTCAATTCTCAGGCTGTCTTTGATTGCTGAGCCTTTCCAGCATTTTTGGCGGGAAGTTTTCCTGGACCTCGCCTGGTCTGTCGTGGCCTTAGTGAAGAAACAGACACCCGGACCTCAAAAGGCCGCTGGCTTTGTGAGGCTCCAAGAATGAACCTGACCTGAAAGCCTGAAAGCCTTTAAAAGATGTAAAGCAGATCCATCCAAGACAAGACCAACCAATACGCTTCAGGGTTAAAAGGGGTCTCAACCATGCGAGTCGCAAGGGCGCTCGTTGGACCAGGCCTGGGCCGGAGCGGTGGCCGGGACCCGCCGCCGCCGAAGCCTTTGTGCTGCTCGCATGAATTGGGGAAAGAGCTGGGAGTGCCTGGAAGTCACGCACAGCCTCCAGCTGCAGGTTGGAAGTAGAGATTGGGTTGCTGAGTGGAATCAGAATTGGTGGAATCATGTGGAATCTGGTGATTACACCTTACTTTGGAATCCAATTTTTGCGACGATTCTAGAGTCTAGTGCATACCAATCAGACCAAAACTACGGCTACTTATATATATATATATATAGGTCTCTCATCGCCTACCTTGGGAGGAGGGATTGGGTGGGCCTATTCCAGGGCACTTGATCATTGCACTCTTCCAATGCGTGGAATACACTCATGCAGAAGTAGTGACTTGCTCATCAGACCTTCCATTGTTGCTTGCGCGCTTAGGTCGCACAAGCCGAGTTTGAATCGGAGGTGTGAGTTTTGTGTGGCCCACACAGCCAGCCAAATCCTATGGTGATCCTCTATCACTTCAGCTCCGTTTGGACACCTCCATTTGGCTTTGCTTTTCTCTCTCTCCCAGGTTAGGCGGAACATGTGTTCTCAGACTGTTTCCAAGTCGCACCAACAGATGTGGAGGCTGACAGGCTCTCAGCCTTGTGTGGCAATCAGGCACAGCTTTTGGATCCGAAACGATTTCCGAACTGACAAAAAACTCAAGTCCAATGCCAAAAGACTGCTGGATGTTGCCACATATCATGCCAGACCTCCTAGATATTTTGACGTGCGAGACTGCATGAAAGTGCCGGGAAAGCCGCACCTCGCATGCCTTGATGTCTCTGATCACAGGTGTCGCCACAAGATGTGGCCAGCACCGCGTTGCACAACATCCTTGTGAGGCCGCAGCTTCCCAACACTTGGCCTTCCAACGTCGAACCCATTCGTGGGAGAATTGCAATGAAAATGCAGAAGCATGAACAAGCATCGCCCACAGCGTAAGCTGCAACACGTCGGGAGGATTGAGCATAAGCTGCAACACGTTGGGAGGATTGAACTGCCAGAAGAAAGCATAATAATAATGTATAATAATCAGCACCGGGTTGTCTCAAGCATATTGCCAAGTCAATTTGAAATCCGGATGGGCCAGTTCTGGCGTTTCTATCATCTCCAGGCTCGGCAATGCACTTGATGTGTATATTCATTTTGGTTCAAGGCCTTAGGTTTGCCAGTGGGTGCCGGTAGGCTGATCTGCCTCCGGGTGCCCAGTTTTGAGAATGGCAAAGGACCAACTGCCCGCAAGTGCTCCAGCTGGGGCAGATGCACTGGACATCCCCCCCAGGCTTTGACCGAGATCGCATGCTCGAGGTCTTGAAGATTAAGGAACGCCCTCAGGGTTATCTGGTCTTTTAGGTTTTGTGACTTTGGCAGCTTGGCTCTATCGTTTCAATATGTTTTAATCGTTTTTGTCAAACATCCAGGTTCCCGATGTTGAAGTACAGGAGCAAGCGAACGAAAAGTTCCGCGGGGGAGACTTCTTCAGCGCGAAATGCCTTTATTCTGGCAGCCTTGAGATGTTGGAGCGGTGTTGCTTGCACCTGGACAAAGCGGATGAGGTGCCTCGGTGGAGGTCCACCCGTAGAAGATACGGCCCGCGGTAGAAGATGCTGCGTTGCAAGACCAAGTATTGCAAAAGATGCAAACAACCAGAGGCCATTCAGGTCCGGTTTTCATGTTTCACTATATTTTTGGCATCCCGGGCCGGTGGTTTTCCCGCCTTCCAGGGCCTGGAGCTTACCCTGGTTTTTGCGTTTTGCCAACAAGGTCTGGGAGGGCATCAAGAACAACATGGCGCTTTGTGATCTGAAGCGGCAGGAATGGGCACGGGCTGTAGATACCACAACTGAAATCCTGCAGCGAAATAACAAGAACACCAAAGCCCTTTATCGAAGAGGAGTCGCCCGCATAGGGCAAAGCAAGTTGAGAGAAGCTCGGGAGGATTTGGAGGCCTGGGATGAACGTCCTTTCAACATCTTTCTATTGCACTCCAATTTTTTTGTCTCTTGTTGTCCATGACTTTTTGGATGGCGTGGCGAACATGTGCTTGATATTGTAATATTGTGATATATTGTGCAAATTTCTCGTCCCCACCTTTGATCCAATTTCTCTCCATTCTTGTGCGGGTTTATCTGTTTGTTGTTTCATTTTCTTTACTGCCGATATAGAGTCATATTGAGTCATATTTGCAATGCTTTCACCCATGAAAATTCTTGTCCACTCTCAATCCCACTGGTCACGAGGCAGTTAATGCGCTCTCTCTCTCTCTCTCTCGCTCTCTTTGTTTTCTTTTTTTTTTTCTCTCTCTCTCTCTCTCTTTTTTTGTGAATGCAAACATGCAATTGAAGCCCTGTGCCAGTATAGTAATATATGATTCATGCTAATTCTGCTATACCTTCAGCTGGCGACCTGCTTTAGTTTCCGAACTGATTGCTGACCCCTGTCACTTGAAGGCTGTGGTGGAGCTTGAGCCCGAAAATGCGGATGCGAGGCACAAACTGGCAGAGATCCTGAAGCAGCTGAGGGCGAATAGGACCAGGGTTGAATTTTTGTTACAAGATGTTGTTAGAAAAAACATGGGGTTCTCTGAAGACCGGGTTCTCACCTATTCGAGGTCTCATCCGGCCGTCGGTCAACGGAGACTGGTAGATCTGCTGTACACCAAAAGGGTCGAAGGAGGTTAGAGGAATGGCAGGAGGTTAATCATCCAAAGTGCTCGAACATTGGATATGGGCATAGCAGCAGATCCGAGGACAGCTGAGAAGGAACAGGCGGACAAGATGCGTGGTTTCTTGCGCGGCGAGCGCATTGATGACACGGTGCCGATCACTGAGGATGGCAGCGTGCGGAAGCTGCACGGCAATGAGAACGCCCCATTGTTGGCCTCCTGGATCAAGCGTTCCTGGCTTCAAGAGGCGAGTGGCGTGGCTGGCGTGGTGACGGCCCACGTGGTGATGAAGACACCCGCAGGGAAGGAGCTGTTGAACACTCGAAAGCCACCGGGGAGCCTGTCGTCCGAGCTGGGTCCACAAATGGCGGCGCAGCCCAAGGCCGCAGATCGCCCAGCGGAGCCAGCCCGATGGGTCATGGATGATCAATGGCGGTCGGTCTTCCAAGCATGGAATAGCGCCGGCAAGACCTTGCAGCTCTACGAGCTGGGGAAGTTTGAGGTGGGTCAACATGAAACTGAAGAGAGAAGAGAGAGGGAGAGGAGAGAGAGAGAGAGAGATCACATGTGTGTGGAGCTACGTTTTATCATAATGGCGGGAATTCAGCAGAGAGAGGGGCGATGTTTCTTTTTTTCACTCGTTCTTTGTTCATGTCAATGCCGAGGAAGGGTTTGCCCCGTTTGCAGGTGGCCCGGCAATGTATGGGACCATCTGTGGAGGCAGCCATTGCCAAGTGTTTTCAGGACTGGTTGCCCGACAGCCCAGAGCAAAGAGACATGTACAAGGATGTTCCTGAGGACGTGAAGCAGACGGGCCTTCGCCGTCAGGCGATTCAAATCTTAGGGTTGCCGGAGGAGTTCTGCATGCAGGAGGAAAAAGAACCACAGGCAACTCTGCAAATGGAGATGGAGTTGCTGGAATCCTCTGAGTACACGGATCTGGATGGAGATGGGAGATACCTCCTTCGAACCATCAAGGAAGGCAAAGGGGCTGCGACAGTGAGTGGCCTCTCCACCGTGCAAGCTCACTTCCGAATTGCAAAGCTCCTCTTGAATTACGCATTGAAAGATACCAGGCGCCGGTGCACCAACGAAAGCATGGGGGCGATCAATCGCATCCGAAACGACCAAAGGGTATAGAACTCCCCAAATCAGGCAGTTTGGCTCAGTGGTGATGGAGTCACTTAGACAAGATTCCATACTTCTTTACTGAATAGGTCTTCTAAGGATTGATCATGTTTGATCGCCTAAAAGAGTAATGCATGTGCAGTTCGTGGGATCCGCTGTGTTCGAGGCTGGGCCTGGCCAATGGCCCCAATGGCTTGGTGCTTCGCGCTGACCGGACCAAGGAGCCGATGGAGTTCATCGTGGGCGAAGAAGCGGCGGCTGGTGAAGGTGTGACTGGGCGAGGTCTCCCCTTTTCGGTCCGGTCGGATGTAGATGAAGTCCATGCACATAGATATGAGATGATATGAGCACACGCACGTATCATATATATACATAACACACACACATATATATTTATCATAGTATATATATATATATATGTAGATCTTAGATGAATATATAATTATGAACACATTACATGTGCGGTGCTTACATGCGTGTTGTGATTGTGTGTGTCTTCTCTTCTCCCCACCTCCTTTTGGAAGCTTTTAGTGAAGTTGATGCTGAAGCCCGCAATGCCTGGGGTGCCTCAATGAGGCAGCCAGAGAATGCCAGAGAGCTAAGCCAAGCCCGCAAAGAGAGAGAGAGAGAGAGTTAAGCCAGATAGTTTTTCCAGCTGAGGATTTTGTACCTCCTTGCATCGGCCAGTGCTTAAAGCTTCCTGCAGGCGCACCCGCAGAACTTGGATCATGGGAGCGTGTGCTCCCACACGATGTGAAACGTAAGAAGTCTTTACATTTCACAACTTGTATGACATATCAAGATGCCTGAAAATGGACCTCGAATTGCATTGGTACCTGAAGTGAGCCGAAGAGAGCTTTTTTGTTCTTCCGTTTCAGGGGTGCCTTTCCAAAGCTGCCGGTTTTCCTTGTTTCTGCATGCTTCGTGTCGGAATCACGTGACAATGATCGACTTCAGGCGGAGTGACGGAAGGCACGCACTTTGAAGTGATTCTCCGCGATGGGGTCCCCATCCGCGAGATGGAGAAAGACATCCACAGCGCCTTCAGCGATGGGCGGTATGCTGGACTGCCCGATACCAGCGGTCCCGTGTCGATCCGCATCGAGGTCCGGAACTGGGTGGGTGGGTACTGTTGGGAACTGACAGTGGCTGGGTTCCGGTCTTGGACTTGGATGAAGCAAATGGGCCCATCCTCACCTGGGCATCACCGCAAACAATATAGCCTTGCTGAGTGCTCCAATCACGGCGGTGGGTAGATCCATGCGACCTGACCCCGAACAGTAGATGAGATACTGTAGATGTCCTCAAGGCTTAAAAGAAGCAGTGGCCCAAACCTGGGGGCACAACTTGGGAGTTAGGGAGTTCATTCCCTGACCAAATGCACGCGCGGCTGCTCCTCGCAGGCTGGCAGGTACAAAGTGCGTATGGGAACATCCCCAAGCATCACCATCCAGTTCGTTGTGAGTTCCCAAGGTCTTCCTTCTTTGGGAAAAGACGACGCACAGTCCTGTGGATTTGTCACACACACACACACTTATGGATATGCGTACTGACTTGACAGCGGTGCCACACGCCGGCTTAGGTAAAACCGCCTAAGGTTCCAGGTAGTAAGTTAGAGGCCTCCAAACCTATGAACACGAGAGCGAACGACGACGACGGGGTGACGACGGGTCGCCGCTGCATTAGCCGCTTACTGCACAACAAAGAATGAGACAGCTTTTGCCGTACTTGGGTTCTCAACAGCAGGTACAGGAAACTGGCCAAGTTTCCCTTCCCACTCTCGCCCGCAGCTTCGTTGCGTGTGGTAGGACGAGAGTGCCACACGCCCCTGCTGACTGAAACAATTCAAAAGAATCCCTGTGACTACAAGGGGCACACACACACACACACGCCTCCCCGAGGGGAGGCGGAAAGCTAAGGTGAGGACCAGTGTGCATGCGTGCGCGCACAAGACAAAAGAATGAAGACATGACAGGAAGACGAGACGGGACAAAGGTGCGTGTGGTTGAAATGAAAGTGGAACCAAGTGCGCAGGGACACCCGATGAAG